ACACTAATTTATCAGACTAAAGATAACTAGAAACAAATAAAATTTTTTACCGCCGGCGTGGCAGAATGTCGACGTGGTATTGGCGGCGGTACATCATTTCCGGTGCGTGGTGGCTCCGGAAGTAAAGAAGTTCTGGTTGGAAGACCAACGCTATGAATTCTGTTCTGCCTGAAATATTGAATAAATTATTGCTAAATTATTTATGGTCATTTTTTTTTTTTTCATAATGCATGTCAGAAATAGTATGGAAATGAGAAAAGTAAATTGATCAGTAATTCAGCGTTTAAACACATTTGGAAGTAATTCAAATTGCGGCAGAAAATTCATATATGATCACAATTATATAATATTAAACGATAAAAATTGTTTTATTTTAATTATTTCTGTTACGTTTTCATTTGCCTAAAGGTTCTCTTGTCATCAGTTATTTATAGTTATACTTATAAATAGACGTTAGAAAATTTCATATGTCAGATAAGATTGTGTAAAATCGAATATTACTATTGGCAAAATTCGTCGTTTATTTGTTTTTATACAAAAAGATATGTGTATTTTTGTCATGTGTTTATCGCGTATTGTTTGTAGCTTAAAAATGCTATGTAAAGCGATATAATAACATGTTAAGCGTATTAACCACAACGTATTCTCGCTGCAATTATAAACGCGTAATCAGCACTAATTGCTGGCGTTATTATATAATGAAATCCAATTTCTGGGATAACCAATGCAAATCGTTTTTCCCGAGTTTTCCCCAGACTATGGTCGGACTATGATCAAAAACTTTTCGCAATATTATAAACTTCTGTGTTTCTGCGTTTATGACATGTGTATACGCACATTTCATTATTTTGAAAATGATTAAAACAATGTAATTAAGATAATAAAGTACACGCGATAAATGTTAAAGGCCTGTTAAACCGTATTTTATTATTCTTGTGACAATCTTCCAGAATTAAGAATTATCTTTTATTGTTAATAAATTGATATTATGTTATACTATTATCATATTGTTACATATTAATATTTAATATTGATACTTTTGTTACTTAATATACAAAAAGATTTTTTGGAAGAAAATGATAAGATCCCGAATGCGTCAATTGTAATAGTAATTTAATTCTCAAACTAAAAAATTCTTTTTGTGCTATACAGAGATACATTCACATTCTTTTCATTAACAGCTGCATTCACACCGACACACGTAATTGCTACTATCTACGCGTTGTGGTGAGGTAATGATCGTAAGAAATGTCATTAGGAGAGATTCAATCAATGTTGATCTCATCATTAAATGTTTTGAGCACCGAGCATTAAAGTTACGCGCAACGAAATAATAGTATATAACCATTATATTGTAAATGTCTCCCTCGTATTGTTTATTATAAAAAAAGAAAAGATTTGTTAAAATATCTTTTTGCAACATTGAGATTTACTATTATTATTTATATGTGGCTTTCGAAAATAAGATTTAGTGTGCCCTAACTTGATTTCTTTGCGATAGAAATTAAAGCAGATGCTCCTAATAATTTCCGCGTTCTATTTCTAGTGCCTTTCGGGTTTTGTTTCCGCTTGTTTTCGTTTTCAACTTCAGTTTTCTTTTTGTTTCCACAAGAGGATTCGGGTCAACTGCAAATTCCGTCCATGAGTCCAGATTAGCAAAAGCTGTGGCACAGAAGCTAATACCTCAGGTTCGGTCAAAGCTTTGCTATTGACTTCGAGTATACTGTTAACATGGGAAGCACTGCATAGCCTCGAGTCAGAAATCACAAGTTCTCATGACTTAGTTTCGAGCATTATAACACGTATTATTTTTTCTAGAAATTACATTAATTTTATTGCAATTTATATGCAATATTATTTATGTATTTCGCACAGATAGACTGTACTATCTATTAAATTTCGGTCAAAATATTTATGAAATTTTGAATGTATCTAAATATGTTTCTTTTTTTAATTTACAATGCAGACAAAAAATAAAACAAATGTGCCTTATTCGAAAAAAAAATTATATAAAAAAATAAGCAATCAAGATTATACCGGGATTTACCGAGATTTTATAGGATTTTTATAAAAAATTAAATATATTAAAATTTTTTGTTGATGTATTATATTAGTGCATTGTTCTTGCTTCTCGTTATGAAATATTTGCATAATCTCCCTTTTTATTGAGGTACAGGATGCATATGTTACCTATACCATTACCGAACTTACAACGCGCTCTAAGCATGAACATGTTATAAGATATTTTTTATATTACTTTGTATAAATATTTTAATCACACATATGCTGCACATGCGTACGCACACAATTACGCAAACTTACATAGATATTTTAATTACCGCTTTTCCTAGGTTGGATTGATTTAATGAAAGTGTTATAACCGCGACACGTTTTCCTAGTAACACGACATAATGCGGCATTTCGTTGCCACACAATGACCATCGCGAAGTTTGTATCTCCAGTGAAAGTATACATTATCTCGTACATCATCCACACGCTAGTAACTACCCGCAGTTCTCGCGCACCAAACTCGGACAATCGTATTATTATAATTAATGCTCAGCAAGTTGTTATTTAATTAGGAGAGAGAAAGAGAGAGAAGGAGACAAACCCCGCTAACTTGCCGTCTGATTAAATATCCCGCTGCGTTTACATTAAATTAATTACTGACGTGCTGCGGAAGAGTTATACTTTCCACGAAATTCATGACTTTCTCATTACCGTGGCATAAGCCGAACACGAAATTGCCGGTGGAAAACGGACGGCAAAACGAATTAAAGTTTCTCACTTTTCACTTTCTCGCGAAATACGAATAGAGCTATTTTAGTTTTTGAAAGTACGTAATCAATATTTACGTAGTTACGTTAAAACTCTCTTACCTCGGCCGGCGTGTCGGGCTCGTATCATCGTCACACGATTCCATGGACATGTTGATTTCTGCAATGCAAAATAAAAATATGTTTTTTAAAAAGGCAGCAATGCAATAAAAATGTCATAAATATTATCTATAAAATAAATCTATAAAATAAAATTTGAAAGATCATAGGGAAATTGCACCTATAATAATACTACGATATTCCACGTCATGCTGTTAAAATTATCAATAAAATGTATTAATAGTTTAGTTGCGTATAATTTATATATAGGAGTACAATTCCGCTCTCGAAATTTGAATTATTAAATTTTGAACGACCGAATTCCAGGTAACGTTATTATAATTCTAGTGGTTTAATTTTTATGATGGACATTTCAATATTATTAAAGCCACATTCCCTTCGGCTTTGTAAAGCAATTTTTACTTGTCAAATAACTCTTTTATCGAAAATGATGTAATTATTTGAAATTATAATGCGGCGCTTGAAAATGCTTTGTTATAAATGCATTTTACATTAATAAGGAAATTACTATTTTAAGTACAGTTTATCATTAATATTTCTTTTTATCATTTATATCGATTTTTCCAGTTTGCAGACTCTCTTGTTTCGCAGTTTTAAGTTTTAAATCAAATAGCAGATACAAAGGAATTTAGTCAAATATCATGTTGCAGGACGAATACGTACTATACGTACTATAGTGTTTGATTCGAGGTGTCGATATGGTATAGATATACGAACAAAATAATTTATGGGCATCGCTTAGTATGACGAACGGGTCCAATCTCATGCACCGGCATATCGGTTACACGATATGCGGTTTCAAATCGATATAAATGCGACATCGTGGGCACGTGGCTTTGATCGACAAGATTGGCCCTTTAACCAAATGGTCAGTCTGTAAACGATGACGGAGCTTCGGCTTTACCTCCCTGTGTGTCAAGTGAAAGCGCTATTCAATTTCCTTTCATGTCTGTATATTCGAACGTGCATACATAAGTCCTTCATACTTGGTCGAGCGATTTGGCTCCATCCGGTCCCCCGATCTGCAACCGGGATCGATCTGTACCACCCTTGTTACACACACTTCCGTTTCAAATTCAACCGTTCATCGTCACGCGGTTCTCATCTTGTCACTCGGAAAGTAAATCGGAATTTGTTTTTGCGACGAAGGGATGCGCGGTATGGTCAACCGTAAACAGATCACGAAACTTTTTCCCTGATAAATTTTACAAAAGTTTCTACCTGCGTCGTTGTCTACGAAGTTTAATTTCTATAGCCATATTATAACTTACTGGTGAAGAAAGTAATATTCAATATTTCTAATTTAATATTTCTTTATACAATATGTTGCTATATTAGCTTAGGGAAGATCTTTTTCTATATTATGAGAAGAAAAATATTCTGAAAAAATATACAATTTCGTAAAAATCTTACTAGTTACAAAATGAATAATGTTTGCATCGTGCTGTTAGAATTTTAATAGTTTATTGTGAACACGAATTATTTAATGTTTAGATGGCAAAGTAGAGACGTATTAGTTAAATCATTAAATATTATATATGTCTATTCTTTTTTATGTCCAATGATAATATTGCTCAGTACAGAGTGGCGAAACAAAACTATAGCATAATTAAAAAAGAACATAGATTATATGCTTTAAAATAATTATATATAATTATGTAGCGCTAAATAAAATTTATGTTTTTAACAAATATAAGACTGAAATATAATTTCTAACAATAAATGCGATAATTATAAAAATCTATTATATATCTACTTGAATGTATTCCTAGATTGAACAAAAACGTCGAGAACAATTTTCTCACGGTATTGAGTATTTTCTTTCTGGATCTTCGCGACCGAATCTTGAGAATCGCCGTTTCTTGAGGCACCGGAGCTAAAAGGAGAAAGACTTTAATCATAAGGGATCGTTTTACCCGTGCAGCTTTTCGCTTTTTATGAAGCTAACTTTGGTTGGAAAGTAATTTTCATCGACATACGACTGCGTGAATGAGAAAAAAAAGATCTTTGGAATTCCGGCGGAGGCGTCTTAGCCACTTTTCATTATACAGCTACTTTCACGACCGCTTGCGGAGCCAAGGATATTGCGCGTGTGAAAATGTGTTGCCTCAGATTTCAGTTTCATTGTATTCATCTCTTCGATTCGCCCCCCTCTTTCTTTATCTTTTTTGTAAGTTTTCTCTGTTCGCTGAACTTTTACGCTTTCGGATGCCTTAGAATTTTGATTAGATGATTCAGATTTGTCCCGTTACATTCATACGATGTTTCTAAATTTTCTTATACCTGCTCGAATTGAAATTTAAAGCTACAAAAGCTAAACAAATTTAATGGACACGTGATATTACACGTTCATTTTTATTGAGAAAAAGAGATTTTTATACGCGATTTTTATGTTGTAAAAATGGTGGGGTATGAACAGCCTCTTGCGAATTAAGCCCTGAATTAATCAGGCGCAAATTAATAACGGGATCCTATTTATCGCTCCATTTGGCGAGGACATTATTTTAACAGAATTTTAATTCAGTTGCTGAGAGATAACGAATATTGAAATTTGAAGATATCGGAAAAGAAGCCCCGTTTCCTCACTTTGACTATTTTTTTCTTAAAATTTCACTACGCGAGAAATCACGACAGTTGATATATTCTTCCCTTTTCTAACTTTACGGATTTGTTCGCGAAGACATGTGTAAAATATATAAAACCTCGACTGTTACAATGTATTTCAATTTTCCATCAAAATCCTATAATTCGCAATCAATATGGCACGTGCAATATTGAATATTAAATAAAAACATAAATTTTACATTTAATATCGAATAACCGATAACACCGTTCCGTGCTTTCGAAAGTGAAGCGATACGCTATCGCCACATATCGTTCTTGCAAATTTAATTCTATGTTATCAACGAGGAGACGAATGCCCGTGTTTAATATTTAACTGTATTTACATTGGCTTGCATTTCGATGGAATTATCACCGTGTCTGGTTGCAATGCGAATAATCGAATGATCTGCGGGTAAAAATGTACATAGTATGCACGTATTCGTCGCGGGAGTATGTTATGAGCGTGCAGCACGTACATTTATGCGCCTTATCATCTTCGTCAAAGGAAAACTTTCGACAATAGCGAACAATTTGTTTAATCCAGCAACCGGTAGCGGCCAATTAATACGCGGCATTCGCAGCAAATCTCACCTAAAGGGACAGTTGGTCTAATTAGAAATCTACCTCTCTCTCTAACGTATCCCCATTTAATTTACATCCCACTTACGTATCTTCCTCGTCTTGCCCGCGTGACCTACTATAGAGAGGTAATTCCTCTATCGATTCGTAAAATATATAACTAATAGCATTATATCTGTCGACTTACACGTATTTTCTATATACTTTTCTATATACTTTAATATACTAGCGATAAGATAGTAATATATTAAACTATGTGTGCACGTGTGGGTTATGTGTGTTGAATTCAATATTTAAAATAATTTATTCTCAAAATTTATATTCTTGCGTAAGTAATTAAAATGCCTTTTACATCAACGTCCACTGACGTCTATTACTATATTAAAAAGAAAGAAGATGTAGATGGTAAATGCCATCGCGAGTAGCATAAATGCAAAATATGTATATAAGTCTTCTGCATATATCTACATAATTATTTGAATGCCACTGAAACGCCTACGCTTTTACATTATAAATGTAAGATGGATGAAACACTCATTATTATTTAATCGAGTAATTTAGTTTACAGATAAATATGTAAAGTGTCATCGCGATTACCATTACGTTTTTGATTTGCAAATTCTTTCATGCATTTGCGACAGGTCTTTCATAAAAGAAATATTTTATTGAGGATCTTCTTTGATAGCTAACTCGTGTTTATATCGTTTTTTAATATTAAAGTTAAATGTTTTTGTAACTAAGTTGAATTAATTAACTTATTGAAATAAAGTCTACTTAGTAGTAATTAAGGTTTTATTTTTGCTAACAAATCTGTATGTAACTCAGCTCAGTTTGTGAAAAGTCTTATTTTCTATTACTCATAATTCAGAAAACGAGAATATTCCACACGAGTACGATTTAAATTGATCAAAGAAACCATAAAATGAAGGAGGGCAGTCCCAAATATTTTGTATAAAAATTCTTGAGTATAAACAGAGTATAATATCGAGCCAGAGAAAAGTATGTTCCGAAGCAGGACCTGATGCAATCATAACGTACAATGGAAGCCGTCTTAGTGCTGTTTCTTCGCATCTCGTAGATTGAATCAATTTATATCGTCGACAATATTGTGCAAAGCTTTCCTCGGACTTTCGCAAACTCAATTAATTCACTCGATCTGATAGAACAACTTGTGTCTACAATCTTTTCGAAAAACACTCTTGCGATGAAAAATCTCGTATTTTATCATTGTCCGAATTTGCCAGAAGAAAAACAAACTAAATATTATAAATATTAAAAATTTTGTGATATTTTTTTCAAGTTAGTGGTATATACTTTTGAAAAAATATTTTTAAAAAGAATCACCGACAGAGAGAGGGGAAACATTAAACATATTAAACCATATGCAAATTATATGAAGTAATATATATCTATATCCGAAAATATAACATGACATATAATTTTGAAAAATTAAAATATATGAACATTGTTCAAATCTTCTTTTATGTTAAAAAATAAATAGAAAAACATTGAGAATAAATACACATGTTTAAATGAGCTTCTGTCGTTTTTTTATATATTAATAATATCCTGAATAAAACAATTTTGGAAAGAAAAATTAGTTAAAAGTTTTTATATTTTTAAGTCATAAAAATATTATGTAGAAATATATATTTGTTCGATAAGCGCTAAGAGAAAGAATTCTCAAGAAAACTGAGATTTTGTTGCCTAATAATTGAGGTGTCTCGAGGTATTCTGAGACAAGGTTGGAGAGCTTTTGAGCTCTCTCAATGTCTACGTAGGATTTTTTTCTTTCTTACCCATTACAAACGAGTTATCGTATAAAAATATAACACTTCAAAAATAAATAGGGTGTTT